GGTGGGATGTGTTTGGTTGGTTGTGTTTTGGTGGGATGTGTTTAGTTGGTTGTGATTTGGTGGGATGTGTTTGGTTGGTTGTGTTTTGGTGGGCTGTGTTTGATTGAATGTGTTTTGTAGGTTCAGAGTTAGCAACGTTTTGTTCATTTATGGTTTTGGAAAGTTACATATTTAATTGGAATATTCTTTGTGAATATTTATCAATATTTCTTTGTGAATATTTATCAATATTTCTTGTGTATTTTTATCAATATTTCTTTGTGTATATTAATCAATATTTCTTTGTGTATATTTATCAATATTTCTTTGTGTATATTTACCAATATTTCTTTGTGTATATTTACAAATATTTCTTTGTGTATATTTACCAATATTTCTTTGTGTATATTCATCAATATTTCTTTGTGTATTTTTATCAATATTTCTTTGTGTATATTGACCAATATTTCTTTGTGAATATTTATCAATATTTCTTTGTGTATTTTTATCAATATTTCTTTGTGTATATTGACCAATATTTCTTTGTGAATATTTATCAATATTTCTTTGTGTATTTTTATCAATATTTCTTTGTGAATATTTATCAATATTTCTTTGTGTATTTTTATCAATATTTCTTTTTGTATATTTATCTTTCTTTCTATCTATCTATCTATCTATCTATCTATCTATCTATCTATCTATCTATCTATCTATCTATCTATCTATCTATCTATTTATCAATATATCTTTCTATCTATCTGCCTATCTATATTTATCTATCTATTAATCTATCTATTTTTCTATTTATCTATCGATCGATCTATCTCCTTATTAACCTATCAAACTGTTTAGGTAAACACCCTCTGTTGATGATTATGTCACGTGCCTGGGCCAGAGGCAGCTAAAATTACCTAAAATATAAAATAAATATAAAAATTTATATTACATGCAGGGGCGTAATAACCTAAACAGGGGTTAGGTTTGTTTAATCACAGTTTTTTCATGTTGTATCCTTATTTTTTTCTTAATGGTGCACCTTAAGGAGGTAATGATTTTCTATTTTGTGTGGGGGGGGAAGGTAGGGGGGTTGCCCCTGTTTCTATGTCACGTACTGTAAACATCTGCATAGCGGGTAGGGCAAGCCTTTTTTGGAAGGTATGATGAGAGGGGGGGAGGGATTTTTTACTGCATCTGTCTTTATTTGTGCAGCATTAAAGTGGGCAAATAGACAGCATGTAAAACATATAGCGAAATCTAGATGAAAGAGTGAAAAGTATTTTATTTTGAATTTATTTAATCCGTTCTTGGTATCCTGTTTTGTTCTACTTTTACCGACTTTATAGACAACGTATATGATGTAAAAATTCCAAGTTCTAAAAGAGGTAAAAGATTAAAAAAGTTTGGAATTGCAAAAATAGTAAAAACTGGTAGGTGGCAAAGAAACGAAAAGGTGTGGATTGACAAAGATGATAAAAAAGCTCTTGGATGACTAAGATCGAGAATGAAAGTTGTGGGATGTGCTTCGAAGTAAACTATTTGTAAAGGATGGCAAGTAGTGGATGATAGAAAATATGGAATTCAAGGATTGACAGAAAGAATAGAAGTGGTGGGATGAAATAAATACAAAATGGGGAAAAAAATTTAAAAAAAAACAGAAATTGTGGATGATGAAAAAATAGAATGAAAGAATGACAAAGAAAATTAGAATTGTGGAATGATAGAAAAGGTAGAATGAAAGAAAAAAAAACAAGTATTGTGAGGGATGACAAAAAAGAATCTGATGGAATGAAAAAAAAGGATACCAATTTTGTGGTGTCAAAAACGATAGTAGGTTTCGGATGACACGAAGGAGTGAAATGGTATAAATGAATGAGTCCCAATAGAAAACAGGACTTAGAAAACAGCACGTATTAACAAGACTTAGAAAACATAGCTTAGAAAACAGAACTTAGAAAACAAGACTTAAAAAACATAACTTAGAAAACATAACTTAGAAAACATAACTTAGAAAATAGGGCTTAAAAACACAGGACTTAGAAAGCAGGACTCAGAAAATAGGACTTAGAAAAGAGTTAAAGAGTTGAAATGAAAGGGGCAAGTATAACGGGAAAGAGTTGAAATGAAGGGGCAAGGATAACGGGAAAGAGTTGAAATGAAAGGGGCAAGATAGTTGGGGGAGAGGGGAGCTCTTCTGTAATTAACCCATTCAGTGAACTGAATAGAACTCAAAATATCCTTTTCTTTTATCCTTTTCCAGGTCCATGTCTAGGCACTGTTCATGTCTAGGCACTGTACAGGTCTAGGAACTGTACAGGTCTAGGCACTGTTCAGGTCTAGGCACTGTACAGGTCTAGCCACTGTTCAGGTCTAGACACTGTTCAGGTCTAGGCACTGTTCAGGTCTAGGCACTGTACAGGTCTAGGCACTGTCCAGATCTAGACACTGTTCTGGTCTAGGCAAAGTTCAGGTCTAGGCACTGTACAGGTCTAGGCACTGTACAGGTCTAGAAACTGTTAAGGTGTAGTCACTGCATAGTGTACAGGTCTAGGCACTGTCCAGGTCTAGGCCCTGTCCAGGATTCACCGACAAAGGGATAAACGACCCAGGGTCAAACGACACAGGGTCAAACGACAAAGGGTCAAACGACACAGGGTCAAACGACAAAGGGTCAAAAACGCGACAAAGGGTCAAACGACACAGGGTCAAACGACAAAAGGTAAAAAAATGCGACAAAGAGGCAAATTTTTTTTAATTCTGTCAGTTAGTATTTTTTTTATTATTATTTATGCTTTGGTTAGGTACA